TACTTAGCTTCTCCTATTGAGTATTCATCCAATCAAGTCATTATCCTAATTGTTTTTGATCATCCTATTGTGTCTATGTGTACTTACCCCCACCTCCACCAACTACTCAAGTGTATTGTCATTGACAGATTCCCTATCATCCACCTAATGACTCTCTTGTGCCAACTCCTCCATTCCCTCCAACTCCAACCGTTGAATTTGATCTTCCCATTGCCCTCCGTAAAGGTATACACTTTACTTGTAATCCCTCCCTTCATTACACTCCTTTGAATTTCAAATTTTATAGGTGATGCCTTAGCCCATCTCGGTTGGCTTCAAAAATGTTTTTCTCGATGGGGATTTGTAGGAAGAAATTTATATGGTGTAACCTCTAGGTTTTGTTGCTTAAGGGGGGAGTCTTCTGAATTGGTATGTCATCTCCCCAAATCTTTATATGGCCTCAAGCAGTCTCATAGGGCTTGGTTTGACAAATTTAGTACGATTGTTTAACAATTTGGTATCACTTGTAGTAAGGTAGATCATTCAATATTTTACCATCACTCAAATGCCAAGTGTATCTATTTAGCATTATATGTTTATGATATTTTGCTTATACATAGTGATCACCATGGCATCTCAGGTAAAGCAACAATTTTGTCATTACTTTCAAACCATAAACCTTGGCAAACTCAAATACTTTTTGGGGCTAGAGGTAACACAATCCAACAATGGAATTGTTATTTCTCAAAGGAATTATGCATTGGATATTTTGGACAAAACTGGGCTAATGAACTCAAAGTCTATTGAGACACCCATGGATCCCAATGTCAAACTCTTACCTAATCAGAGGGAGACCCTCCCAGATCTTGCAAAGTATTGAAGATTAGTTGAAAAATTGAATTATCTTATAGTAACTTGCCCTGACATTTCCTTTGTAGTCAATGTGGTGAGTCAATTTCTTAATTCTCTAAATGTTGATCATTGGCATGTTGTGATTTGTATATTGAAGTACATTAAAGGTTCTCTCAGAAAAGGTTTGATATATGGACACAATAATCACACTAAGGTTGTATGTTATTCAAATGTTGATTGGACATACTCTCATTTTGACAAGAGATCCACTTCCAAATATTGTCTTCATAGGTATAATTTGATCTCTTAGAAAGAAACAAAATGTTGTAGCAAGATCTAGTGTGGAAGCAGAATATAAAGCTATAACCTTAGCTACTTGTGAGCTTATATGGTTAAACAGTTACTTAAAAAATTGCATTTTAGAGAGGTCACTCAAATTACACTTATATGTAATCATGAAGTTGTTCTTCATATTAGCTCAAATCCCACATTTTAGAGAGGTCACTCAAATGACACTTATATGTAATCATGAAGTTGCTCTTCATATTAGCTCAAATCCCGTCTTTTATGAAAGGGCCAAACATTAAGATTAGTTGTCATTTTATTCGAGAAAAGATTGTATTTGGAGATATCCAGATTGAGTTTATTAATTCTAATGATAAACTAGCATATACTTTTACTAAATCATTGTAGGACCTTATAATTGATTATATTTGTAACAAGTTTGGTACATACAAATTATATTCATGGTTTGAGCAAGTTCTCTGATCCTCTTCTGGTGGTCTCTGTTGTCTGCCGGCGGCCGGCCGCCATGGCCGCCGGCAGCCCCTAAAATCTCAATTGTCAGTCCATTTTTTTCTTCTTAAATCTCTACCACAGTCAGCACCAGTCCAGACCCAGTGTGCCAATGCTGTCGCCGCCACTTTCCGATGTCGTCGCTGCTAACTCCGGCCATCGTCGCCGCTGCTGCCGTCGCTGCCGCCACCGCCGGCCACCGTCACAGTTTCGATGGGTGACCTGTGGATCTCGACCGTCTCTTCGAGCGACGGCCAACCACGCCGGTTTCGAGAGCCGCTTCTCAGTCACCCGCCGCCACGCAGCGCTTCTTTCAGGCCACTCCGCCATCACCGGCCACCGCCGGCCGCCGTCACAGTTCCGACCGATGACCAGCGGATCTGAAGCGTCTCCTCGAGCGACGGCCAACCCCGCCGGAGTGATGACCAGACTCCTCACCACGCGCCGCTTCTTCTCGGCCAGTCTCGGCAGCGTGTTCTGCACGCGCCGCCTTCCCGGTGTCAGAGTTTCACCGCGTCACTGCAGATCGTCTCGCCGGAGCTTCTTGAGTGTGTTTTGGTTCCTGTTTCTCCGTTTTGTTGGCTTGGGCTCATACCTAGGGTTTTGCTGCTCTGATACCAAATTTAGTCCCTGCAGGTTCCATCAGTCAGTGATGGCAATTTAGTCTCTGCAGGCACCATCGGTCAGTGATGGCAATTTAGTCCCTACAGTTTTATAGCTGTCAACCGCCGCTGCAGTCGCTACTGTCTCAAACATTTCCGCCCTTCACATTAAGGGGGAGTACGTTTCCAAGACACTGCAAGTCACATAAATGTGGGTGTAGTCCCTGCAGTTTTGTAGATTTCAGCTACTACTGTTGATCCCGTCACCCATCCATCATTGATGAGGATTTAGTGTAGTCCCTGCAGTTTTGTAGCTCTTAGCTTTCAGCTACCACTGTTGATCTCGTCACTCATCCATCATTGATTGGGAATCAGTCCTTGCAGTTTGTCATTGTCCACCACTGCTCTCCTTCATCCACTTTTGAAGTTGAAGTGTCACGAGCTGCTGTTAGTCCATGTTTGCCTCACTCTTGAAGACAAATCATCTAGTTCAACACTGAGTTCATCTATTCCAAGCTTAGTTCATACAATTTGTATGCTCCAGCTTGAGGGGGAGTGTTAGATATATTATATCTTTTATTTTTTAGTTAGTTTGTTATTATTTCTCATTTGTATTTTGGGCTTAGCCCATATTTCTTTTATTATAAATAGAGAACCCTATGTTTGTATTTTACACAAGGGAGATTAATCCAAATATAGTTTTCCACTATATTCAACAACGGGCTTAGGCACATCTCTATGTATTTTCTTATTTATAAATGCATATTAGGGATTCAACCCATGCCCCTCTCTTTTATTTTAACAAATGGATTGGACCTATAATCCAAAAATATGAATTTGGACTTGAGATAAATCTATTTAAATAGATTTAAAGTGATACGGATTTAGAAAATTATGGATTAGATTTAACAATTTGGATCTTTTGCTCACCCTTAAATGAAAGATTTAATCTCCTAAAAATACCCTCCAAAGGACAGTCATCAAATAGAATTTTCAATAATATGTATTCAGTCTTCAATATCTGTAAACAAGGACTGTACATGCCAAAATGATTATTTGATATGGAAACAAGCACAGGGACTTTTATGTAATGTAACAATTAACAAGACAGTTCAGACATCCAAGTTCTAATCCTTCTTTTTTTATCAACAAAGCTGTAATACTAATGCAGCCTCTTGAAGCAAAGAGTCACATCCATTTACTTAACTATAATATCAACTGAAATAGCACCATTCAACATTTCCATTTATCAAGTAGACAAAAAATTGGAGGGAAGGGGTATATGACATTTTTTTATGGCCAAAAGCAAACATATGAAAATCATCATGAAATACGATTTATAGATATTCAGTATTCTAAATAAATTAGAAGCATGTCAAAATCAATCTGTTGTAGATTGGTCATTATCACTCAACAAAGAAGTGCAAGAAATTTCACACACAACAACTACAGACGGACATTCCACAAACAACAGCGTAAGAGGAAAAAAAAATTGAGATGCTCGAGGAATCAATTTGCCAAACTTTTCCAACTAGGTGGGTTGGTTACATGAAATGAAGCAAATGATGCCATACTGTCCCACATAGTGAATCCAGTCAGTAGAGAAAGTAACAAACCACCTCTAAATCAATGCTTTTGCTGTAGTTTTTCACAGTTGGCCTCCCTTTTAGTGGCAAGGTTATTTTCCATCTGATCTACTCTCTTTACTAAAGCTTTTAAATGTCTTCTTTACACTAATCCAAACCCTAACGTTAGATCCAACTATTTTCTCTACAATATGTTCCATACAAACTTTCTCTCAAATGCTTTCACTCCTAATCGTATCTTGTCTAATGCATCATCCATTTGTTTCCATGGCCCACTGGCGCTGGTGAAGGCATCACAGTGTACTATGTCACTCATCCACAACAGTATTCTCATATTTAATACATGAAGCCTATTCTCATCACGACAAGAGAGAAATAAATAATTTCATAATATAACATACATGAATGGACTTATTTATTCTTCAAGAGCATAACATAGATAACTAGTGCTAAATAATTTACTACACAACAATTAAGATAATATTACATCATAAGATACATCGAACCTAGCTACACCAACTTACTAAATATCTAGGCTACTTGGAAATAAATTTTAACGAAGCTCTCATCCCCTAAAATATTCCTATTCCCAAGACTTATGTTGGCCCTTTATTGTGACATTGCCTAACAGTCAATTCTGACATTCCATACATCATATCTCATACTGGTGGTAAAATTTTCCTTCAGCTTGAGCAGTACCTTTTTGACAGTCGCAATACGATTAACGATATGAAATGACAAAGAAGAGAGCCGGAAAATTTCAACAAAATTCCGCAAGATTCAAGGATTACTTTTGGATTAAATTATCCATAGGAAATTATTTTGAGTTGTAATAGAAAAATGGATGCAATAATTCCACCTTCTCAAGTATCACTGAAAACCCACATTTACAGCATACTAGTACTTACTTATCAGAACATTTTTATTTTTGCTTTAACACGTTTACTTCTTCATAGACAATACAATTAGAGGTTAAATTGTAGACTAAATGTAGAGAATGGGTAACATAAATAACACAATAAAATTGATTCTGGACATCACAAAGTGCTCATATAACCCAGAATAAATTAGAACCAAGAAATGACTCACCACTTCAAAAATCTGAAAAATCAACAAAACCTATTCCAATCTACCTACCCAACAAAACAAACAGAGATAAAAATCAGCAGAGACAAGAAAAACTCACAGTCCAAGGACACAACGAGTAACTTCTCGACCCTTGTGAAGACACTTTTCAGGGTTGGGATCTTTCTTCTTGCACTTCAGAAACTCCAAGTTCTCAGAGTGACACCGAATCCCAATGTGCTTCGACGATGCCATCAACACCGACGACGAAGGGATAGGGTTTCCCGAGGCATCTACAGCGCTCGCCATGTGCAGTTCAATCCTTGTCTGCTACAACAAAGAAAGGGAAGCGCAATTCGATCGGTGTCCTTAATTTCCCGAGAAAATGGAAGAAAATTACTCTGAATATGGAGAAGGAAAAGACATTTACGAAATTGTCCTGATCCTTGGTTGTTGGAAGGACGCGAATTCGACAAAAACAAAAAGGGTACTCTCGTAATTCGGTTTTGAGGGATAACAAAGCTTCAATTTAGTGCTAA